ATTTTGCTTTTACTTACAGACAGAAAATTAATTAGAACTCAAAATATATTAGAATATGATAACGAAACCATCAAAGAAGAAAGCAACGTCTCTAACCAACCAACTACTGATGAGAAATCAACATTACATGTAACTACTATCAAAAAGCTGAAACTAAAGTTTGATCAAATACAGTCCATTGATGACTCAATGCGTGGATTGTTTGAAAATTTCTGTTATATAGAAGAACTCGTTCTTACTACTAAGTATGATTGTCCTCTTTCATTAATGGGAATTCCTTCAACAATCCGTAAACTTGTAGTAAATTGCAACCACAGTAAGATTGATGACGAAGATATAACCAAGTTTCTTACTAATACTGGGACTGTTTTAAAATCATTGGAGCTTAATGGAGGTTTCCCTCATATATTTGGATCTTTCTTACAATATCTGCCACAAAGTCTTGAATGTGTACAGATATTTGGGGCACAAAATTTTGGTGTTTTGGAGTTAACCTTTAATAACTCATTAAAAACACTCCGATACGATGCTGAAGTAGTGTTCACAAGGACAGATGATTCCTTTAGACGCTATTTTCCAAATACTAGATTGATGATAAATAGTACAACACCTCTAATGACAGAAGTGCAACCAGAACAATTATTAGCAAAAGCAGATGAGCAAAGCATTAGAAATTGGAAATTATATTCAGAACTTCCTCTTGACCTTTTAAATGCACCATTCACCCATAAAGGTGAAGAAATTACTGTTTGCTTTCAACCTATTGATGGGAAAAGTAAGGTATTACTAAAGGTTTCTGATAAGAAATGGATCTACACCTCAAACAACAGCATTCCATCCTCAGAAACAAGTATTCAAAGTTCAAAAGAAAACAAAGAAGAGAAGAAAGGAAGTGCATCTTCTGATACTTCCAATGGCATGGATTTATCAATGAATACGCAACAAGAAACAGTAAGCAACAAAACCAAAAAGCAGAATTTACTGAAAAAATATGAAGGATACAAAGGAAAATTATCAGAACTGCACACTCATCTAATGGGAATGGGAAATGCACATTTTTGGATTGAGTTTGTAATGAAAAAGATGATTCCTGAACTAGTAGCGTCCAATCCAAAAGTACCAAAGAAAATTGATCCTACAGAATGCAACAATATTGATGATCTAAACTTGGAATCTATCTGGACTCTCCATAATTCAATACCAACAACAGATGTTGTTTATGGAGTTGAAGAACTCTTTATAGCCTTCCAATTAAATGACCCCAGATCAAAGGAAGAAAAGGAAGCACATTTGAGCAGTATAATAGGAGGAGAAGATCCACACCATTACATAGTATACAATGTAAGAGAAGGCAAAAATGTAGATATATATGGATACACAAACTCACAAATAATTAACAATTTAGACAACAATCCATTACTCAAAGCCAAATTAATTAAATCCTTTGAAATGAAATATCCGGGAGATTATAATGGGATGTTCTCTCCAAACTTTTACCCACAAAGATTCAGTATGAAGGACTGTATCTATTTCATGTACCCAAAAGTTATTTCTGCCTTACTCTTACACACTATTTTCAATTATTGTGAAGAGGGAGTTTCCTATGTCGAATACAGTGTAAGCTGAAAGATTAAAACAGAAAAGTGTATCAACA